CTGTATGGTGTATGTTTCTCGTCTTATACTCTACTGCTACAGATGTCCCTTCTACTTCATTTCCACTTTCCAATAGTGCCATAAAACTGTTTGGGAACCTGTATGTTGGGTCCTCAAACTCACTATCGAAAGCCATTTCAGATGGATTTCGAGCAACATCTCTTGATGACCCAGGAACATCACATATGTTACGCATATCAACAAATAACTCAATAACTACTATATTAGTTGACTCATGTAATCCAATCATGGTTCCAATATTATCATCTTCTTCAAGTGGTACTGCAACATATCTGACTGGGTTGGGATATATCATAAACCTGTACCTCAAACCATCAACTGCAACTCGAATTTTTCTTTCTATCTTCTACTTCATTTCTACAAATGTGATGTCTCTTTTGAACATCATATTTATTGGTTTTTCAGACTGAAAAATAACTCCGACCTCATTTTCCATAATCTGTCCATTATAATGGACAATCATGAAAATATTATTACTCATTTTCTCTACAAATAAAAAATATATAAATTTAAATTAAAAAAATTAGATAAAATAATTTCATAAATCATTAAATAAATAAATATACTATACTATTATATTATATTAACAATAAAATAAAACATGTTATTTAACATGATTGGTTGATCACTAATATTATTAATAATGATTTAATAATTATTAATAATCTAATGATTTGATATTTAATGATTTAGTAATGATATGATTTGGTAATGATTACTAATAATTATTTATTATAAGTATTTAATGATTTGTATTTTATACTAATCATTTAGTAATGAATACTAATAATAATGATTAGTTTGATAATATTTTTTTTAAATATCAAATAAATTTGTTAATTAATCTTTATAAATTTTAATATTATATTCGATTCAATTTTTACTCCTTACTAATTTACACATAATCTAATATAAATTAAACAAAATATTTTTTTAAATGGGAATAAATTAAACAAATTAATTTTATATAATCTAATATAAACTAACTAACTAATTTACACATACACAACAACAATAAATAACAAATTACCCTCGTATTTATGCATTCTTCCTTTCATTTATTTTCCTTTCCTTTTTCTTTCTTCTAATAAATTTGTACGTGGACAAAAGTTGTGGAATAATACCCTGTAGGTGTAAACAAAATATTTTTTAAACAACAATAAATTAAACAAATTAATTTTATATAATCTAATATATTATAATATAACTTAAACTTAAACTAATAAACTATTTCTTTATTATAATAAAACTTAGTTAAAATAACAAACTAACAAACTAATTAAGTACTAATTAACTTTTTTATAATATAACTTCAACTTCAACAAATAACGTAATATACGTTTAAACTCACTAACAAACTAATTAAATAATATTTTACATATAATATAACTTAAACTAATAAACTATTTCTTTAATATAATATAATGTAGTTAAAATAACAAACTATTTAAGCACTAATTAACTTTTTTTATAATATAACTTCAACTTCAATAAACAACTTAATATACGTTTAAACTAATTTAAAAATTAAAAAATTACCTTAAAGGCCCTTATTCTTCTTCTTTTCTTCTCCCTTTCCTTTCCTTTCTTCTCCCTTTCTTTCTTTTCCCTATCTTTCTTCTTACAATCGAAACCTCCCCCCAATATATAAAACCCAGTTGCTGCAATAATTGAAGCAAATCACGGGCGTTGAAATGCAACAATTATTGCTTCCATTCTGGTTCATATCAACTGCTGTTGCTGCATACTATTATAGTTGTTATAGCTATTGAAATGCAAAGGAGCATGGAATCACGGTCGTGAATTATTATCCCAATAATACAACTATTATATAAGCAATAAGGGGACAGTGGCATGCGAGGGGCAGTGGGAACAGGCGAGCAGGCGTGAAGGCTTGGTCGCCGGGCGTGCATGGCAACCTAACATGTCGTCGAGCGTGCATGGCGACCTACAGGTCGCAGGACGTGCTTGGCGACCTACCCCTACGTGCATGGCGCATGCAAAGCTGCAGCAACTCACCATAGGTAGCGGGGACGGCATGGCGACCTCCTTGGTCGCCTGGAACACCTGGCGACCTACGTTCAAACTGTAGCAAACACCCTATCACATCAATTAATTGTTGGAACATATTATCTCGTGAATATTTTTTTGCCACAACATTATATCGTCAATTTTTCCAATCAAAATATCATACCCCATTAATAAATTAAATTTAAACCTTTTCAAAACTCTTTTCAACTCTAAATAGATTATTTGTATTTATCTTAAGTTATTTAGACATTTATGTTTATTCTCTTAGATGTTTAATATAAATTTTATACACTGTCAATATATTAAATATTAATCTTTATATAATATAGTAGAATATATTTCATAATACAAAATAAAAAATAAAAACATTTAAAATAAAATATTAGAGGTTGTTATTCAAATTTTATTTGTTTTGATTTTAAAAATTTATAGTACATATTAAATCATACAATTCATATTGTGTACCTAAAAATTCCACAATCGATCATTTATATAGTTTTCGATTATAATAAATTTCTTCTTTCTTGCTTATATTTTTCCTATCTTAGGATCCTAATATATAATTTATTTATATTTAATTTATAATTTACTATTATTTTAATTAGTTTTCATAATAAAAAGTTCTTTATTTTTATAATAAAACACAAATAAACCGAATTCGATAATAAAAAATTATTGTTATTTTTTAATATCAAATTTTTGAAAATTGTCTTTATATATATATATATATATATATTATTTATACTTATCATGAATTAATAAAAAAATAACTCAATAAATGATAGTGAACTCAAATTATGTTTTTCTCAAATATTACACGTTAAAATAATATAGAACCATACCAAAATAGTATCTAATATCACGTAGTAGAAATATGCTGGGGGTATTAAGAGTTGAAGACTGATGTATGAAAAAAGAAGTATGGAGCTCATTCCTACTCCACATGGCATCTGCACATAGTAAAATGATGTGTGTTTAGTGGATGGTTTTCTCATAGAGCAGAGCAGATCATTATCACCAATGTCAGTTAGCAGTTGGCTGTGAGTTTGACGCTACGAAAGAGCATTCATTGACATGACGAATGGTGCCATTTGTTTTTATCTCTTTGGATTCTGCGCCAACATTTACTGTCTCCATCTACCCCTCAACACTTTCAAATATAAAAAAATTACACACAAATACAAGTAAAAAATATTATAATAGTTCATGGTGTCCTTTTTTTTATTTCAATTTAGACTTTTTGATATCTAATAATCATATTAAATCTCTATTATATTTAAAATTAAATTTTGTAATGCTCTTAAATAGAGTTCTTATAAAACGTTTTATTTGTTCATAAAATTTGAACACAAAACGTCCAGTCTCACCTAATAATTTACATCATTAGATTCTGTAATCAATAAGTGTTTCTGTTTTGAAAATCAGACCGGACCGGTCGGTTCAATCGGGAGTCGTTGTTTAGTTCGGTTCAATCTAAATCGGTTGAACCGTTATTAGTGAACCGGTCAGAACCGCTGAACCGTTCGAACCGGATCGGCTGAAAACCAGAAAAATTCGGGAAAAATCGGAAAAAATCGGGATTTTTGTTTTTTTTTTAAATTAAACCAAACAACGTCGTCTGTTAAACGAGCCAAGTCGAACTCGAGTATTGCTGAGCTCGACTCGAACTTGAAAACTTTAAAAGTAAGCTCAACTCAACTCAAACTCACAAGCTAAAAATTATCAAGTTCAACTCAAACTCGAAATATAATATTGAAACTTGAACTCAAAAAGGCTTGAACTCAAAAAAAAAATTAGAAGCTCGATTGAAGCCTAAAATTCGAGCTTGATTGAAGTGAAAAAATAGTTATATAATTATAGTTATATAATTTTGTTATGATTTTTTTAACCCCAAATTTATTTTTTAATTATAGTTATATAATTATATTTATTATTTAATATTTTTTACCTTAAATATTATGTTGTAGTTAATTTGAATCATTTTGTTTCACTTGATTTTATGGTTTTTAACTTATATATGTTATGACTTGCTTTGAATATGACTTGTGATATAAAAATTATTTTTTTATTAAATATTTTTGGTATTTTTATTTAATTTTTTAAATTTTTATGAGGTCGTCCGGTTCTTCTGACCGGTCGAATCGGTTCGATCGGTTGAACCAATGAACCGATAGCATGATCGATTCGCTAATCGGTTCTGAAAACCATGATAAGTGTTTGCCAGTTTGCCCAATGCCAGTGCAGTAAATGTTCCCTTTTAGGGCAAACTTACTGCAGCATTAAACACCGAGTGAAGTTGCCTGGTAAGAATTCTTATTGGCCATGAAACCGGTGGAGCGCTGTGTCTTTAATTTATGCAAAATTCCAACATGATCAGAGAATCAGACAAGACAACATAATTGCTATTGTTCTCTTTTCTTCTTCTTCTTCTGTTTATTGATGTTTGTTAATTTTTCCTCTGTAAGAGAAACATGGTGAGATTATTGTGGTGTTATAATCATAAACTTCCCATCAAACAGGAGCAGTGAGCCAATGGCTAAATGGTGCCTACTGTTATGGAACTGCCCAAACCCAAAGGATAAACTGTTTCATGTTACCTTATCCGAAATCTAAATGACATAAACTTTATGTAATTTGAACCATTTTTTTATTAGTTCGAACAACATTTGTATAACCAACATTATTGATTTATCGACCCAATCGGTAAGGCTCTTAAATATTCTAATTAAGAAAAGCTTGAAAGTTTTATCCGTATATCGTTCAAAGTCCATGAAAGAGTGCATCTCATAAAGCTAAAGTGGTTAACATTGATGGCATACATCAAATAATACAAAAAGAATATGAAAAAGCATAGGTTTGGAAGAGTATAAACAAATATTTAAATTATATGTGTTTAGTGTGACAATCGGATATTCATTTTCATTAGTATTTTATATTAAATCAAGTGATTTGAAAATGACTTTCAAATTAAATGATTGAAATACATAGACTAAACAGACATGAACATAGAACATAGAACATAGAACATATTATATAGTATTACATCTAAGCTTCCAACATTTTTGTTTTGTTCATACTCTTAGTACCTGGGCAAGATGACTGCCTTGAGAGGGTTCTTCATCACAACAGTGAAAGCATAAGTCTCGGCGGGATCGGGCGGACAATCCGGAACCGGCAGCCACTTGAAAGCTTGAATCATCTTTGCAGTCAACAATTTTATGTGCAAAACGCCTAGGTTCCAAGCCGGACAAATCCGTCTCCCCGCTCCGAATGGCAGCATCTTCACCGCTCGAGTACCGGTAACGTCCACATCGACCCCGTCACCCTGCAAGAACCTCTCGGGCCGGAACTCGTTCGGATTCGACCAAATATCGGGATTCTCGGTGATCCATGCAGTGTAAAACTCGACGTAAGCGCCAGCCGGAATCGTGTAGCCACCGAGCTCGGTGTCCTTTATAGCTGCATGAGACAGAAGGAAATGACCCGGAGGGTGTCGCCGGAAAGTTTCTTTAACTACAGCTTCAAGATAAGGCATTTTCTCCACGTCTTCGTCTTTAATATCCCCATTTTTGCCTACAACACCAACGATTTCTTGGTACAACTTATTTTGGATTTCTTGGTTCATCACCAAGTGAAGCATAGTCCATTCGACGGTTGTCGCGCTAGTATCGGTACCAGCACTGATCACCTCGGAGCATAGTGTCACGTACTCTTCTTCCCCTAACGGACCTCGGGTCTCCGGTTTGAGTCCAAAGAGAGAGTCTATATAGGCTGCACCTACTGGACTCACCATTTCTTGGTTAGGGTTTTCACCTTTCTCCACAAAAGCTCTCCTGTTTTTTATCAATGGAACAAAGCACTCCAGTTGCCTCTTCCTTAGAGCTTTAGCTTCTTTCATTTGCCGGCGGAACAACGGTGTGAGCATCGGCAAGAAATCCGGTAGCTGCGGCGATGTTATCAGCATTACGTCTTTAAGTATGCTTTCGATTTTCTTGATCCGTTCTTCGGAGATCTTTGCACCGAAACATAAACAGATTAAGATGCTACATATAGTTAACCTGCAGTTGCTCATCAGCTCCAAAAATCCGTTTTCAAACGATTCTCTTTTGATCCTCTTCATATGGTTTTCAATCGCCCATTTGCGGATCCAACTACACTGCTTCACTCTTGTCGGCGTTATCAGCTCCGTCACGAAGTTCTTCCTTAGGGTTCTCCAGAGCGGTCCGTACTCGGCCGAGTTGATCGCGCATTTCCCGACGCTGAACACGAGCCGGATCGGCGAGTCGGCCGGTCTAGAAGCGAAGGCTGGGCCTCTTTGTACTAGGGCTTCATGGATGAGCTTGGAATCCGTAACGATCACCATCGTACGTTGCCCCATTTGCATGGTGAAAATCGGACCGTACAGTTTACGCAACTCACGTATTATAAAGATGAAGTGTCGACGTTGGAGGATGACTTGGATTAGGTTTCCGACAAAAGGCCAGCCTGGTGGCCCTGGAGGGAGGTTCTTTGGTCGGCCTCCGATGACGGACGAGTGCTTCCACCATAGACGGATGAAGATAATTGCCAAACCAAAGATGAATAGCTCTATCAACTCCATTTTTAGGGGGAAGAAAGGAAGTAGAATACTACAAAGCGTAGAGCAAATTTCTGTGGTATAATTTATAAAGCATGAAAAAGAGTGAATTAAATGAATTTGGTCCACTAGCTATCCGTTTATATTAATTACCTTTATCTCATACATTTACTATATGTTTACAGATCATAAAAGCAGTGGTAGCAACAATGTTTGGATCACTTCATTAAAATGAAAGAGTATGGGGTCCCAAATATGCAATTTTCTTCACTTGGTGTGTTTCTTTCTTTTCAAGAAGAAATTATTTAGGAAAAACGTTTAGAGTATTTTTCTTGGGTAAATGAAGCGATGGGTTTTAAAGTGAAAAAACGCGTAGCTTTAATTACTCCTTTGAAATAAATACTTACTTCTGGATAATCCTTATAATTAAATAAAATTTTAAAAAATAATATTATTTTTATATATTTCCTAGATTACCGAGATTTTTCATTATTCTTTAACCGAAAAAAAGATTAAGCATCTTAGTATATTTGATATTATGTTCTTTATATATTGTTGGGAATGAATATTTAACCGAAAATTCAAAACTTCCGTCCTGACTCTATATAATTATATTTTTCTTAAATTCATGTTCAAGTCAAGTTGATTTTTTAAAAGATAAGATTGTGTTAAATTGTTGGGTTTAAATTTAGGATTAAAAATATTCGACCTACCTATAAATAATAAAATAATTGAACTTTATATATTTAGTGATAATTGTTATAATATCTCTCTGTCTATAATTTTTTCAATTGAGTTTTTATTTTATCTAATAAAAATGATTATATATATCAAGTATGATGCGAGTTTTTATCTACAACATCGTCTAATGAAATTTCTCTAAATCCGAATTGGATCGAGTGATAAGTAAAAAAGTGTTATACTCGGATCAAATTCTAATATATTAAAAATTGGATCCAACTCATATATATCCTTATATATTATGTTGACAACGATAACAATTAAATAAAACTTAACAAAAAAATTAATTTAAAAAAATCTTTAATTTTATATGATGCGTTACTTTTTTTTAACTAGATCTAATAGATGATATATAAAAGTATGAAGATCGTTGTAACATTATATTAAAAAATTATTTTCTCACCATTAATTATCATCACAGTAATTTTTATATTTTTCTCAAAGCAACTAATTTATATAAATAATTGGGTGTAGGCTGCAGCAATGCCGGGATTTGCATGTGACGTTCCCATAGGTCGTGCCTTTCAACGTGGTAACTCGATGACCATAAATTACTGAGTTAGGTAGCTGCTTAGCTAAAACTTTTAATGAAGCAAAACGCAATTACAGTATATAACGTGCCACTAATATATACTATTTTTTTAATCAATGAATCACATAATAATATGTTATACACAAAAACACGAGGTATTGCTGTGGTCATTGCTAACAGTTTTTTTTATTTACTACTTCATCATCTATACGTAATTTTGTAATGGAAAATGAGTTGGCAATGCCATGCCTTTGGCAGGGAAATTTATGACCTGTGTTGATATTCACGACTTCCATGGCTCCAGTTTTGTTGTGTATTTATTGCTAGAGACTTTACACCCATTTGATTGCAAATGTCGTACGTGTATCATGTTGAATCAAAATAGAGTAAAAATTCTAATTGATCGAGAAGAAGAAAAACTCTCTTTCTCACAAAATTGCAATAGGGAAGAACTCTTAAGAAAGCCTTCAAATGCTTATTATTAACCTTTGATTGTTGAATGATAAAATTCAAATACAAGTAGGGTATTTATAGGTTACAAGAAACAATCTAAACCACTCATAAAAATAATCACTAAATAATCTAAACCATTGAAACTAAAATATGAGAAAAATACTTAATTTTCACCTAACTAAATTGATGTAAGCAATGACATCAAAACTAAATAGATGTAGGCAATGACATCAAAACTAAATTGATGTAAACAATGACATCAAATTAATTTAGGTGTGAACTTATTTAGGCTAATATTGAATTTTCAACACTCCCCCTCAATGTAAGCCTCCATTCTTTGAATCACGTCATGCTAACGACGGAAATGTTCAAACTTTCCAACACTCAAGCTTTTTGTAAACAAGTCAGCAATTTGCTCATCTGTCTCGATTTGCCTCATCTCAATCTCTTCTTGCAAAACTTTTTCCCTAACAAAGTGGTAATGTACTTCCACATGTTTAGTTCTTGCATGAAAACCAGGATTCTCCGCTAGCCGAATTGTCGATTGGTTGTCACAATACAACATAATTGCATAATCTACTGGTTGATGTAGATTATTCATCAACTGTATCAACCATGTACTCTCTTGAGCTGCCATTGTTATTGCTCGATACTCAGCTTCAGTCGTTGACAATGATACCGTTGGTTGTCTCTTGCTACACCAAGAAATTGTTCCGGAGCCAAGCTTAAACACATTCCCAGTTGTTGATCTCCTGCATAATCAGCATCACAATAACCAACTAACTTGCAGTCTTCACCTTTATTGTAAAAAAGACCATATTCAATTGTACTCTTCACATATCTCAATATTCGTCGAACTGCTTCCAAATGAGGCTTCTTTGGATTTTATATATACCGACTCATCACACCAACTGCATAAGAAATGTCAGGTCGGGTCAAGGTTAAGTAGATCATACTACCTACCAATTGTCGATACATTGTTGCATCTTCCAAATCTTTTCCTTCATGTGCACACATTTTGACATTTGGTTCCATTGGTGTTAAAGTTGACTTGCATTCGAGCAGTCCAAACCTCTTCAACAAATCTTTAGCATATTTCTGTTGACACAGAAATATTCCTTCGTGTGTGCGATCAACCTCTAGACCAAGGAAGTGCTTAAGTTGTCCAAGTTCTTTCAACTGGAAACGAACTGATAAATTCTCATTCGTCTGAAGAATTTCTGCCTCATCATCACCGGTTAAGATTAAGTCATCCACGTACACTAGCACGATAGCTAGCTTACCTTCATTGACTTTGATGAACAAGCTAGAATCTGCAGGTGTTACTGAATAGCTGTTTTTCGTTAGAAATTTAGCAATCTTACCATACCACGCCCTAGGCGCTTGTTTCAATACGTAGCATGTTTTTCGCAGCTTACACACATATTCAAGATGATATTGACTCTGAAAACCCATTGGATGGGTCATGTAGATATCTCAATCTAGTTCTCCACGAATAAATTTCTGCAAGATGCCAGTTTTTTCTTTCCGCTACACCATTCTGTTGTGGTGTGTTGGCACAAGTGTACTGATGACGTATTCGACATTCCCTTAGGTATTGAGAGAACTCGTTTGATCTATATTCTCCTCCGTTATCTGTGCGCAAGCAATATATATTCTTTCCTACTTCTTCTTCAGCTGAGTCTCTGAACTCTTTAAACTTTAAGAATGTGTCAGATTTTTCTTTCATAAAGAAAACCCACACATACCTGGAGAAGTCATCAATGAATGTTACCATGTACTGCATATCGCTAATTGACTGTTGCTTAACCGGTCCGAATACATCAGAGTGAACCAACTCTAATGGTTATTTTGCTTTAAACTTTGACTCGTCATATGGTAATTGGTGTGCTTTACCATATTGGCATCCCACACAGACCGTGTATGTTCTCACGTATAGTTGAGGAAACCCCTTAAGCATCGACTTCTTCACCATCACACTTAGCTTGGAATAGCTAACGTGACCTAACCACATGTGTCATAGATCTGATGTCTCATTTTTTCTTGTCATGTCTACATATGCAGACTCTGCTGACATCACGTAAATTGACTTCAAACTTCATCCCTCCATTGTTGGTGTTTATGAGATTTTAACGTCACGATAAACCTTCACGTCTTGGGGACCAAATAAGACATAATAGCCTGGTGATGTTAGTTGAGCCACAGATAGCAAATTTTTCTTCATTCTTGGGATATGGTAAACATCTTGAAGTTGCACCTGGTTAGAATTATATCGAGGCACAACTATCGTCTTACTGATGTGAGTTATTAGTAACCTTGAGTTGTCAGCTATCACCACCACACGACCTCCATTGTACTCAGACAGGTTTTGTAACTTCTGTTTGTCACCCGTCATATGATTTGAGCAGCCCGAATCTACGATCCAATCATTCTTCTAGTCAATATGTTCTGGTGTTGTTACTGTGAGAGCTAATTCTTCTTCCTCCGTAGTAAATAAAACTTCAGCATCCCAACCATATTCACTATTCTCCTTCGAACTGGAAGTAGCAATATTACTTTCAACAGGCTTTTTCTTGGTCCAACAGTCATTTGCCATGTGGCCCATCTTCCCGCAGTTGTAACACTTGCCATCAAACTTTCTACTATTACCTCTACTTTTGCTAGTGTAGAGCGCTTCCTCTTCACTCTTCAACGAGACTCCTCCCATTTGCTTGGCCATGGCTTCATGACGTACAAGTAAAATTTCAAACTCAACAAGCGATGGTTTAGTCGGCTATTTCTGTACAACGGTAACAAACCCTCGATATTCAAGTCTCAAACCATGGACAATTATTATTTTTATCCTGGCTTCCCAATAGTAGCTGTAGGATCTAATTCTGAAATTTCACGACATATCGACTTCACCTTGTGAAAGTATTGGGCAACCGCCATGTCGCGTTACACCATTGATAGAAGTTCAATCTCGAGGAGTTGCAATTTTGTATAGTTCCTCTTCGAAAAGAGTGTAACAAAAGTGTCTAATGCTTCCTTTGGTGTTTTAGCATCCCGGAGTGTTCCAACATCTCTTCTTCAATTGTGGTCTTTAAAGCAAACATTGCTTTGTCTGCTTTAATTTTTCACTTTCGCAAGATGCCATTAGCATCTTCTACTGTCGATTGTGTAACTTCACCACCACCGATAACCTCCCAAAGGTCTTAACCTTGTAAGTATGACTCCATACATATTGCCCACGTGTTGTAGTTTTTGTTGTTGAGCTTCTTGATTCCTCCAACTACTTGAAGATCACCCATCTTAACAGCAAGGCTTTGATTATACCAAACAAGCTT